AGAAGCGATCTGTGGTCTCTCCATTGACCAGAATAGACATGCTGGTGGAGGAGATGCAGGACATGATAAGGGAAATAAGAGTAGGAGGGAGTTGGAAGAAAAAAAGAGTCTCCCTAATAAAACTCCATTCAAGTTTGTCATACGCTTTCTCCAAATCCAGCTTGATAATCATACCACCCTTCCTACCCATCTTCCTATTAAAGGAATAAACCAGTTCTTGGAGGATGAGAATATTGTCAGATCCATGTCTCCCAGGCACAAAACTAGCTTGGCAAGGAGAGATGATGGAATCCAGAAGGGGTTTGAGCCTGTGGACAATGATCTTGGAGACAATCTTATAGTTAACATTACACAAACCAATAGGCCTGAACTGATTAATGTTCACAGGACTACCCACCTTTGGGATCAAAGTGATCAAGCATTCATTCCATTTAGGGGGGACAATACCTGAAATAAAAATCTGTTGGATGTCAAGGAGGATGGTATCCTTGACAGAGTGCCATAGCTTTTGATAGAAGAAAGGGTGGGTACCGTCCGGGCCAGGGGCTTTAAAGGCCTTCATGGAATACACAGCCTTCCTAATTTCAATTAAGGATGGAGGCTCAGCCAAATCATTGGGGAGCTCCAGAGACTGATGAGTGGTTGATTGGATCCAATTATAAGAATCATGAAAGGAATGGGAAGCGGGAGATGAAAATAGAGTAGAAAAATAGTTGGTCACCATATGGTTCAGCTGAACAGAATCAGTAATCCAATCCCCCTCAGGATTATTCAACCCATGGATTCTATTCTTGGATCTATGTCTCATGGTAGTAATGTGAAAGAAGCGAGAGTTTTTATCCCCATCCACAATCCAATCGGATCTAGATTTAAGGAACCAAAGATCAGCTTCACATTTAAGAATCTCAGAGTATTCATGGGACAGATCTTTCTCCAAGTCAAAGAGAAAGTTGTTATGATTAATGGAGAGAGACTTATGGATACCTTCCAAACGAGCAAGGATGACCTTTTTTCGTTTGAACAAGTTACCAAAAGTATCGCGACTCCAAGATTTGATACTAGTCATAGTAGAGGCAAGACAGGAAGAGGTATTACTGTGAGGATGAGACCAAATCCTATCGACAATATCAATAAATTCGGGATGATCAAACCAGAACTTCTCATATCGAAAGGGTCTTTTCCCAATAGATGGAATTTGAGGGGTAAGGTTCAGCAAAATGGGATTATGGTCAGAGATGAGCCTAGGGAGGTGATACACTGTAGCTTCAGGGAAGAGGGTTCTACAACTAGAGTTACACCAGAACCTATCAAGACGTTCCCTAATAACACGGGAATTCCGCATATTAACCCAAGTATATTTCCCCCCCCACATAGCCCATATCCATCATACCACAATCACACATACAAGAAAGATAAGCATTAACTCTCAGCTGGTTGATAGGGTTACCCCCAAATTTCTCCCCTTGTTCGGTGACATCATTAAAGTCACCAGCAATAATCCAGGGGAGATTAATATGCTTAGCCAAATCAGATAATTCATGCCAGAGGAGAGATCTAATATCAAACTGAGGTCTGCCATACACACCAGAGAACAACCATTCATAATTAGAGATGACAGAATGATTACATACCTTAACCATAGCGTGGATAGCTTGATTGCTGGAGAAGATAATATCAATACTCACTTTGTTGGCATCCCATAAGAGCCATATACCACCGGCAAGACCATCTGAATCCACAATATGACAATCTGGGAAGATCCTGGAAGCCATAGTGTGTGCTCTTTCACCATTGAGTTTGGTTTCCATGATTAACATAATAGCAGGGGAGTGGATCCTTTTTAGCTCCATCACATGATTGAGAGAGTTTTGATTAGCCGCTCCGCGGCAATTCCAAGAAACAATCTTCATATTCCAAGAGCTAATGAAGGTAGAACCCAAGGCACTAAGTGCTTCCATCTGGCACATAACTGGTGATGGATTGGACGGTTGGCTGAGCACCATCTGCGCAAAGGGGAAGTAATACGGGATCACCAGAAATTCGTAATCCATCTCTTGTGGGGTCATCGGGTCGAATAGGCTCCGGATGAACAAGTGCATCTCCTTCATCTCCCCTATTGCCTCCAAGATGTTCAGATGAGGCCTGATGGATGGACAGTATACTTTCAGAGGGGAGATACGGGTGAGTGTTCTGTCTATGTTGGCGTCGTCGGAGTTGTAGCTTAGATCCAGCACCGAGAGGAGATCGATCTTTCCTCTGTGATCTGATTCCAGTGATCGGTAGAGGGGTAGGAACCTCCGTGGGTTGATCTCCTTCGGCACCAAGAGAGGTGAGCGCCAAGTTGATGAGATGCGGTCCATGGTCCAGAACGGTGGTTGGAGGGATGGGGTTTGGATTATCTGTTGTAGAGCACTCTCCAGCCGAATCACTTGACCCTCGCTCACCAGAAAAGCTTCGAGACTGCTGCTCATTTGTAGAAGACGGGTTGATGGGAAATCCACCATCATGCAAGGAGTTGTTATCAATGGTGGTCTGTGGGGGGTGGAGGGGACTGGTGTTGACTTGTGGGGTAAAGGGGATGGGGATTGAGAGAGGATGTCTCGATTCAGGGTCCCGGGGAAGCTGTGTATCTTGATGTTGGGCCATTTGGGGCTTAGAGGAAGTAGGAATTGGCTTGGGATAAGCGGGCTCATCTTGGGCACTCAATCCTTTAGGATCAACGGGCTTAGCATTTGGGAAGATGGGTCTATAGACTTGGCCTTTAGGACCTAACTTAGGATTGGGTCTCACAGTATTAGAAAGGCCATTTTTTGTTTGACTTTTGAGACTCGACATACTAGCCGTTGGTTGAGTAAACAGAGAGTGGGCGGCATTTATGGTGATAGACCTGAGTCCGTTAGAAGCGGCTGGTTGATTGGATGGCTGCCTCTCCTTGCCCTTTGGTCTGATCTGACGGATCGGGTTATCAGTTGGGTCGGACATACTCACCATTTTTCCTGTTCCTGGTTGCAACGCCGTCGCCGGCAATTCCTTCTGTTTCACACCATTTTGGGTACTGCTGTTCTTCCCTCTAGGTCCTGGTTTCTTTTTCCTTCTTTCAACAACGATCCATGGGCCATAGGGTTGAACCTCAGGCTGTGGGTTTGTGACCGAGGTAGAGGGCGGAGCATTGAAGGTCAAGGTAGAGTCCCTTGGTGGGTCCGTGCTGCTGGAGTTACCTGGCCTCATTAACTCTTGTCCCACAATTCCATGTTTAGAACTAGCAGAATTTCCTGTGCATTGGGTTTCTTTATGGCCAATTTTGCCACATTTAAAGCAGAGAGTTTGAATTCCCTCATATAAAACTCTTTGCTTATGTTTCCCGATTCTGACATGGGTAACCAGGGGTTTGTTGATGTCCACTTGAACGCATAGACGGGCATATTGGCCCCTGGTATGATGGATGGTGTGTGCGTCAACCCTTAACAGGTTCCCAATTTTGTTTCCAATGCGAATTAGAGTTTCTGGATCATAGAACTCTGTAGGTAGTTCGGGAAGTCTAGCCCAAATAACTGTAGTTGAGAAGGTGGCTTTGGTTGGGTTGAAATTTGGTTCCCACCGTCTAATAGTTAGGTAATAGGGGCCAACAAACCAGGGACCTCCGTAGACAACTTTGTGCAAGTCGTTCTCGTCCTGAAACCGAACAAGAAAGAAGTCGAGTCCCAGGTCAATACATTCCCATTTACCTTTGGGTTTCCATTGTGCTTTGATGCGTGGATAGATGAAGGAGTAGCCCACTGATTCTGCAAAAGCAGCCTTAATGATGATAGAATTTACCCACGGAAGCCGGATTCTTTTCTTATCGGCCTTAGAAAGAAGAACTGTTGGTGTGTTTTCCTCACTGGCCTCCTCCACATCAGAATCTTCATCAAGATAGTTAGACTGTGTGGAGAATTCAATGATGGTCGGGTCATTATCCTCTTTGCGGAGGAGGTCTGCAAAGGATAACGAAGTAGGTATATCCATGGCGTTAGGATCCACGGCAACTGGGGGTTGTTCTGCACTCTGAGTCGCCGTTACCGACAACTCGTGAAGTTCTGTCATAGTGACTTCAGAGCATTCAACATTGGGTCTTATGATGGTATTGTTCTTGATTTTCTTCACACTTCGAGCCAGAAGATCAGCCTCCTGCAAGGATGGGAAGGACGAATCGGAAGCTAGATTTGAGAGAGTTCCGGAGGTCATTTTTTAGAAGTTTTTTGACTATCACTCTTTCTTGATAATCGGGAATATAACAAGAATCAAGGAGGACTATCGACCCGATGTAAACCCTGGCTTCCATACTCGGAAGATCATAGCATCCAAAAGACCAAATTTAAACAACTCTTATAATATCTTTCATACAAATATTGTATAGGCAATATGACCATTATTCTCTGTAATAATATTGTCAATATCCCCTAAAGCAGGTAAGCTCGGATCAGTTGAGCAGCGCCTTACCACGAAGTAGATAAGGAAACTTTTGCTTGCTAGTAATAATGGCGATGCGCCGATGTCGTCCTCACCAGGCAAGAAATAAAGAAAGCTTTTGAAAGGCTTCTGGCCTTTTGGCCTGCCTATAGAGCATGGAAGGGAATCGCAGTAGCAGACTGTAACGGTGATGGATAGGTTAGCATGGAAGAGCTTGATGGCCTCATAGGTTATGTTTATGAACTTGGGTACACTGGACATGATATGATCCACTACTAAAATTCTCACTTTTAGCAACAACTTGTCAACAACATGAATGTCCTTGTTGGTGATATCACTGATAAGGGTTATATTGTAGAAAGTCATACAGTACATTTTCCTATTTAAAAGGCTACACCATTTTCAGCAACAAGGGGTATGTTATTGAAAATAAATTTCAGCAACATTTCTTATGTTGCTGTAATTTTTTTTATCATTACACAGGGCATATTTCCACTTAAAAATGAGTCTCACTTTCAGCAATAAAGGGTATGTTGCTGAAAATGAATTTCAACGATAAGGGACATATTACTGAAAATGAATTTCAACGATAAGGGATATGTTGCTGTAACTTCAAAGCACCTAGAGCATTAGCAACATTTTCCTTGTTGCTGTTATTCTTATACATTTTTTAACCAAATATCAACAACAAAGAATATATTATTGATATTCATGCTTTGACCAAGCTAAAACCATTATATATACACATTTCTTCGACCATTATATATACACTTTTATTATTATATATACACTAGAATTGACGCTCCATGTGAAGAGTCAATTCTTAATGAGAAAGATTTTACTTTCATTGAGAAAAATTCCACTATTATTTTTAAAAGTTGATTCTTAAGAGTCCACTCTTAAGCAAAAAATATTTTATATTTATATGTAAAATACTTAAGTAAACTCAAAAGGATGTTTACATTATTTTTTAGTTAAATTAGATATTTAAATCATTTAAATAAAGAGTAAATAAAATAATTATATTAATTAATGTGTTAAATGTTAAGTACTATTTAATAAAGTTAAAAAATCAATTAATAAATTAAATTTTAGAGATAAAACCTACTTTAACTCTAAATTTTATTTTGTCTATATTTAAAATTAAAACAATTAATATATTTCACCTATTTAATTAGTCCTTGCTATAGGTAGCTCTTAATTTATGAAAGAATAAATTAACTCTCATTTAATTTTATTAAACCAAATTTAATCATAATAAACTAAATTTAAACAAAATTAGACAAAATTAAAATGATTTTCTGGTTTCATCTTCCTCGACCTTCTTCCCTTTCCCTAGCTCTATCACTCTCTATCCTCCTCTCCTTCACCTCCATCCTTCTCTATTTTCTTCTTTCTTTTTGGTTGGATGGTGAGAACCTGATTTGGGTTCTCATTCTCCCAAATCTAATCCAATAGAACAAGGGGTATTGGGGCCTAATTTTTGAAATACATTCTCCCAAATCTCCGGCCAATAATCTCTCGAACTCCCTTCTTCTTCTTCTTCTTCCTTTTTTGGTTCATTCCTCAAAGAAACTCCAGAAAAACCCAAAATTTTTCACTCAAAAATCCAACGAAAATCCAACAATAATAATGAGGGATGAGAGAAGTGATGGATTTGGGAAAGAAGGGGGAGGAATCCACCAAACCTTAAACCCATTGATCAATCTCAAATTTGTTCCCTTTGAACCCTAAACTTAGGCGCATCCATGGAATCTCGCAAGCTCAAGGATTTAGGTTCCCATTTTCCTTCTTTCTACAAGATCTAAGCTCATGGAGAACCTAGATCTAGTTCTCCTTATGAGAACCCACTTGGGTTTTGAAGGAGTTAGGTGAATTAGGGATGAGACGGTGTTTGGTGGAGATTAAAATGATAGGAGGAAAAAAAAAGTAAGACGGTGATGATGAATGGTGAAAGTGAGGAAATGGTGGATGAAGAGGTCACTGGAGGAAAAGAAGGGTAGGACAATGACGATTGGAGAAGATAGAGAAACAACGGAGGTTTTAGGAGGGAGAGAGAAAAAGTTGGAAATGGCAGAAGAGTGGTGAGGGGATGATTAGAGTTGAGAGAAAGGAGTTAGAGTATACTATAAAGATGGGGTATTTATGTAATTTTGTATTTTTAATATATTAATTAATTAAAATGATTTAAGTGTGGTTGTAAAATTAAGTGTGGAGTACTTCTAGACATGGTGAAGAGTCGACTCTTCACTACAGATAGAGTTGATTATATAAGGTCAATAATCGACTTCCAAATTTTATAGAGTGGAGTTATTCTTAACGCTAGGTAGAGTCAACTCTTAACGTAAAGAGTTGATTATTAAAAAAAAAAGTTGATTCTCATTTATAATAATCAATTCTTAAGAAAAAAATATTTTATATTTCTATGTAAAATATTTATGTAAACTCAAATATAGGTTTACATTATTTTTTTGAACAATAAATAAAATTCTACTAATGTAATTATATTAATTAATATGTTAAATGTTAGGTAATATTTAATAGAGTAATAAAAATCTACTAAGAAGTTAAATTTTTTAAAAAATAACTTGTTGATGTATATGAATAAAAAAATGGGCAAGAGATGATAATTTGAAGTTTTAGTAATGTGGTATACGTCAATGATGAGTAATGCTATTTCAAATTTGAACAACTTTTAGTAATATGGGATATGTTGTTGATTGGAGGGCGAACCTTTTAGCAACATGATACATGATGCTGAAGATTCTATATATACTCCATCCCCACCACCCCCCACTGAGCTGAGCAATTGTTTCTCCTCCATTTCCTTCCTTCTACAATTCCTTCTGCATGCATGATATTCTCTTTGAATGCTTCCTCCATTTCTCAGCCTCTTGTTTCCTTCATTTTTGCACAAATCCTCCATATCTCACTCATGTTTTATTCATTAATTATATCATATATTTCTTTGCTTTTATTATAAAATTCTCATACACATATCAGTAATTAAATTAATTTTCATGAACTTCTTCATTTTCTCGAAGTATATATTGTGATTTTATTATATTCAATATGTTTATGAACATTAAGTAATTAAGTATGTTTTAATTTATTTGAAAATTAATAAAATTATAAATGACTATATATATAATACTTACTAACTTTGGTTTTTTGTTTGTTTTGTAGGTAAATCTCAATGGAGTAAATAAATTCAAGTTTTGGATGCTCCATAAACTGGCATTAATTGCCTTAAGATGTTTCTTTTAAATATATCTAACTAAAAGTTTAGATATAGGTGGTCAAAATAAATATTAATTATTCG